ATAGTAATAATAGTAATAATAATAATAATATTGATAATAATAATAATGGTGAACACAATAATATTTATTGCTGCTACCCGATAATTTTTTCCTTTTTCGTGTTTGAAAATTGACTTTTTGCTTCAGTTCAATAAAAGAAAAAAAAAAAGCGATTCCGTTTTTTTTCAAACGATTCCGTTTTTTCAAAATTAATTAGCATAAATTGTAAATGATTTATTTAGCTCATGTAAGCATGACTAAAAAAAATTGAATTTTGGAAATTTTAAAGTCATTTTCAACAAGATGAAAAGAAAAAAAATGAAAAGATCAATCAATAAAAGTAAAATTTAACAAGTAGCTGTTATTTTTATTAAATAACTGATGAAATTACTTTATGTGATACAATTTTAAAACGAAACTTTCGAATCATTCATTTTGTTTATTTTGTTAATAATTTATGGCCTATCACTGAATTAATTAGTAACGGGTTCTTTTTTCTTTTCTTTTTTGTTTGATTGCCACATTATTTGCAAAATAAATACGTCCCAAAAATATGATATATCTTTTGATTTTCCGGATTTTATTTCTGATTTCTCTTTTTTTATGTTTTGATTTTTATTTTTGTACACATCGATAGTTTTTTCTGATGCAATTTTAATTTAACAGTTGAATTTGTTAAATTTTTCAACAGTTTTGTTATTCGTTTTTTTTTTTGTATTGCTAAAAATCGTATTGCTCAGAAAAAAGAAAAATTTGATGATATATATTAATAAATATGTAATAGCTACAATTTTTTTTCTCAACTGTATTAATTTGTGGAAAACTACTATTGATAAGATAATATCACTAATTCTTTAGGTACCTTAATTAGTATTGAATATCAATACTTTTATTGTTTTAATAATTATGCATTCATTATTATTTTTATATTATTTATTCTTATATCTGTATTACGGTTTGATTTCTATATATTACATTGGTATCTTCGCCTTTGCTATGCTAATTGTTATGACGAAAATGTCTAAATAATCCTTATCATATTGATATTGTAAAATGAATAAGTTTTATCATTATTGTGCATACATTATTCGATTTCGAATATGGCATAATAATATTGTCATTATGTATCATAGCATCATTGAAATAAGCTTACGCTAACAATCATTATTCATTGTTGAATAAAATGAGAATTAATTTTATTCATAAAATTCATCCATCAAATGTTCTTATTCAAATGACAAATTCCAAGAGATCAGATGATGCGAATAATTTTTCCCTTTTCTATCATATTTCATCCATAACAAATATCCCAGAACTTGATCTATTTCCTATCTCCTTCGGTATAGTACGGAATTTCTCCGAACTAAATTTAGCCAAATGTGGGGTAACAAACTTAAGTTGTGATCTCGAAACAAGTCTTGACCCACCAATGACCTCAACTTAGTCGAATTTTGCAGCATTTACAAGTTTTGTCCCTGCAATAGCGACATTGACGAGACAATAAGTTTTTTACCTGATTTTATTTCAATTTCAAATAGCCAGTATTGCACCCACTTTTAATCTTTACAGTCAGGTTTTAATTCTAGATCGGCTCATCATTTATTATTTCAACTCGAAGCTTCCCTATATAAATCTCAAGAAACTGAAACCTGTCAGTACTATCATTACTGACCAAAATTAAGCTGCTGAGAAAGTAAATACTTCCTATCTTCATTACTATCGTTACGTGAGTCAGAAAAAATGTTAAATTGAATTATCGTTTATTTCTAGGTTCCCTTGATTTAGGTGGAGCATCTAAACAACTAATCTATACTTTAAAAAAAAAAAAAACTCCAACAATACATTTTAAAAGAATTTAGAATTAGACCAGTTTTTTAAATGTCCAGAATATTTTAAACATTTAATGTAAAATTGTCGCCTATCGTATAATAAATGACAAAAATTGTTCTAATATTCCACTATTTCTATTACATTTATATATAATGAGTAGAACAATTTTAACCTGTCCTTCCTGATTTTAGTACAAGAAACTCCCATTGTAAATCCTAATAGAACATAACAATAATAGAATATGTCCGTATCATACAGTAAGGGATTCAAATTCAAGCAGTATTTCGAATGATCCTTTAATAAATGCATCATATTTTGGCGTATAATTATATCATTCCAGTAAAACGACAAGTATTTGTATATCAGCATAAAAAAATCTGCTTAAAACGGGATGAAAAGGCAACTAAATGCAATTCATTACGGTGGGAAAAGGCAGAAGAAAAAAAAGTGTAGCAAAAAATCAAAGCACTTGAAGAAAAGAAAATGGAGTAGAATATCATAAATATATCGGTAAAACATGATACAAAAGAGATAAAAAACAATACTAACATAGAGCACAGAATAATGAAAACTGAAAATATCAACATTTAATCGTAAATTTTGTGAGGCAAAAAAAAGGCATAATAAATGCTGGTAATGTAGAAAGCCGGAAAACATAATTCATAGAGAGACATGAAATACAATGCTTAGTAATTCATAAATTATAAATATAAATGCCACTTATTCAAATAAGCACTTTTCCAGTTAGTAAGGGATGTTATGATTGATTAACGGACGGAAATATAAAGCAATATATCAACAGATAATTAATACACCCAATAATCAAAGATTAACTCAGATTAGTCATTATTCAAAACATACAAAGATAACATACGATTACTTCATTACTTTATGTGATTAATTTACATTCGAAAACAGCTTAAATACATTAAATATAGATGTCCAAACTCGTTTACGGTCAAAATTACTTGATATTCCGTTTTCAATGATTCTAGCAAAATACGTCATTAGAAAAAGAGTTCTGCACCAAATTTTCCAGATATAATCAAAATTAAATCATCACATAATATAGATTCTTATGATTTAAAGCATGTAAAATTCAAGAAGCGACTACATATTACACAAAAAGATTTCTGTACCTAGAATAAATAAAAAAAACTTCTTTCCACTTTTCATTCTCTTTTCACCTTTTCATTCTTTCTTTTTTTACCTGTAGCTTCAGTTTCAAGCATTTCTGTTGGCAATCATCACTGAACATACTACTGATGGGCTGCACGCTTTCTTCAAGAATGCATGATTTAATAGTCGGGACGCCGTAGCACGTTGCTTTACATCGCGAACCAACATGTGTGAAATAAATGAAGCTAATTCAGGTGAAACCTATTAAAAAAAAATTCAAACTGTAGAAATAATCGCACAAACAAGATTCGAATTATCACTAATTCTTTCTTTATTATGCAGAATTTGAGAATCTTTTCAAAATTAAATTTGGGTTCGAGATGAAAAAAAAAAACACGTACGTCCACAGTTTCATTAATTTTTGGCGGTGCATTATCACGAATCATTTTCATTGCTTGCAAAGGTTGTACATTAAAAAGTGGCGGTTCTCCCTGCACCATTTCGATGACCATTATGCCCAGTGACCATATATCAGCTTCGGTACCGTATGGTAACCTACTTATTACCTGAATGGAATTTCTTTTTCTTTTAGATCATGAAACTATTTCTGCAATTTTTAAAGAAACGAAATTAAACAAGGAAGAATGGTAAAAATAGTTATTAGCGACATTAGTTTTTGTTCACAAAGTAACACTAACATAATAAGCAAAAGTCGGTAAATAAATAAAGCTAACCTCCGGTGACATCCAGTATGGTGTTCCAACAAGGCTATGTCTTTGTGGTATATCAACAGATAACTGACCACAGAAACCAAAGTCAGAAATTTTCGCCACACCATCTTTTGTGAGCAATATTGAATCACTTTTAATATCACGATGTACGACGCCTTTAGAATGCAAATATTCCAGCGCTTTCAAACATTGCGCACAAATAGTTGCTATTGTTGGTTCATCGATCCTGATAAATAAAAAGTCTTCAGAAAACTCATAAGACACCAAACTATTCTTATTGAATACATAGAAAAACGAATTTTATTAAAATCTCCATCAAAATTTAGCATAATAGATTTTTCTTGAAATTTCTTGAAATTTTGCTGCAAAATAATTTTAGCAAACCTCATCTGGGTGATAATATCAGTAAGTGATCCACCTTCCATATATTCCATTAATACCCACAACTCATCATCTACCAAATAGGATCCATACATTTCAACAACATTAGGATGCTCGTAGTCACGCATAATTAAAACCTTAAAAGACCGTTTTTAAGAAAAAAAAGCAAGAAAAATACCGAAGAAAATTGATGAAATTATGGGAATAACATATGGAAGTTTAATTTAAATATTTCAAGTCCTTACTTCATTAAATAACAACTCTCTTCGCTGCTGTTTCAAAATATTCATCTTTTTTACAGCGATTTTCTTTCCCGTTGAAATCTGAAATGTAATATTTGTTTTAAATGAAGTGATTTCCACTTAATAACGATGTTTCTAACCAACTGCCTTCAAGGAACATAGAATGACAAAGACATATAGTAGTGAAATATAAAATATTTAGTTTCATCTTATGAATCATTTCACATAAAAATAAAGACAATTCGACGACAAAAGAGTGGAACGAAACGAAAACAAACATAAAGTAAGACAAGACAAATGACAAAGATCAAATTAAAAGTAAACAAAAGCAAAGGAAAAAATGCATTCATTTGCTTACCTGATGCGCAGTTACAACAACACCGGTGGAACCTTCACCAATTTGTGAATAATTTATCAAGTCCGCTCGAGGATCGCCTGGCAATACAACCATTTTCAGTGCAGCACGGAACTAAACTAATAAACCATTTCTGGTTGTAAACTTCGTGAAAAGTGAAAATCATGTCTATTCAGTGCAATTATATCCATATCCTTGCCTTATTTAACCTCTTCTATTCTGAGCTGCCAATTACAAATCGGACAAGAATGTAGCGATAATTCTTCCAGTAAAAGAAAAAAAAACTTTGCTATGCAAGATTTGTCAGAAAAATGAAAGAAGTCGCTTATTTAGTTTTAAGAAATGACGCTGTTTTTGAAAAATTAAAAAAAAAGAACCTACACTATTTAAAAAATATACTATTTATTTAAAAAAAGAATATGAATTTCAAAAACCTCCTCATGTGATAATCGATTATGTGACTCATCACGCTTCTGCCGTACACTACCATTCATCGCTGAATTATTGGGCCTGTACGCTGATGCTTCATTATGAGATAATATTGATGGTGAAGGATTCATTTTAACTTGTAGCTAAAAATTTCAACTGAAAAATACAGCTTTCAAAGAAAAGGCACGAATAATATTTTATACGTCTCATTCCATTTTTGATACAAAAACTTGAAATAATGGGACAAGAAAATATGACAAATATGCAAAAAAGGGATATAAAGAAATAGGTCATTTAATAAATTCAACATATGAATACCACAAGTTATCCCAAAATCCAAAACGAAAAAGAAATCAAATCGTCTCCGGAAGTTAGTTATAACCAGTACATATACAGAGATTATAAAATGTGATTACCACTCATACTTTGTCATACTTATGCGTAATAAGCATGACAGTAATAAGCATGATTTCCATTTAAGTAATTATAGGAATTGTCGGACACTATAAAAAATAAGTTTGTATAAGAAAACTCACTCCACTATTGCAGAGAAAATTCGATTGCTGCAGTACAGAATAACTTTCCGGATACACTTCGACAGCATTTGCTAGATCACATTGTGCATAGTTCTGTTGCAGATGCACAGGCTGCAGTATGCCTTCAATGGAAAAAGGAACGTAAGGAATTGTTGAGAAAATTAAGAGTTCAAAGAATGAACAAAATATAACAAATATTTCTATCTGAAAATATTTATACACTTGTATTAGTTAAAAAATCAGTCTCCTTCCTTCTTTCATCAATAATATTCAAAACCATAAAAGTTTTTACTCCAATTCCTTACCATTTTGCCATGTTGAGGTTTGTGGCATTTCTAGTGGAGTGGGTCCTTGAAATTTGAGAGACGATTGTTGCAGGGCGTGACAGATTGGTTGTGCACCAGAATAATGTACAGATAATGGTCTAAATAAAGAAATTGGAACGCAAAATGAATATATATATCAATGTAATTTAATGTAATTAAATCGCCAGTAGTCTCTTGAAGAACAGAGCTTATTTAATTGCATATTAATTTAGAAAAAAAAAACGAAAGCATACTGTTGGGGAACGCGTATCCATGCCTCGGAAGCGCGTACCATTCGTGTAAAATTATTCTGAGCACCATCTTGAAATTCCGTATGATCTTTTCGCAACTTATTACTCATTGACACACCACCGAAATCGACTCCTCTGAAACAATTCGCCGCATAAGGTTGATAGGTCTCTAGGTCGATTTTTTCCTTCAAAACTTCTAAATCTTCTCAAGTCTCATTTTGTTTTCTTCATGAAATGTTTCCAACTTTGAATCCTGATTAAAACTGATTACTTATGAAATGGCTGTAGCACATCTCCACGAACAACTGTCTTAATTTCTGCCATTTCCATCGGTGTAATACAGCTGGGATCAACCATCGGTCGAGGACGATCCCGTCTATTGGGAGTTATACCAATTATAGCCTGCCACTGCTAAAAAACTTGCAGATTTTGTCGGAAAAGTATTCTGATTACTATATCCTTAACTTATGATGTAATATTGTTGTGCTGCTGGACTAATACTGAATTACTTTACTGATAAAATCATAAGAAACGAAGGCTTTTATCCCTAATATATTATTAAATAACTGAGCCATCTCAGCTGTGAACGTCTAAATTATTTAACACACAGTACCATATAAAAATATTTAAATATTACACAAACAAAAGTGGCAAAAGAACACATGCTGATAGTAAAATTGGACCTTGTCTCAATAAACTTTAAAAATCATTTAAGAAAAAATATACAAATGTAAAACTTTAAAAATCATTCAAAAAAAGAATATACATATGTACAATAAAGAAACCTTTGGTAAACCATGATACTGGCCGGTAACTGGATCAAACCCTGCATGATAACGATGCTCAAAATTGGTTGGCATCGAAATTTCCAATTTTCTTGCACGCCTTCGAATGGACATTTTCTGGATCCAAAATTCTAAAGTAAACACTTTTCTGGAAATACTTATAGAAGAGCAAAAACAAAATAAAAAAATAACGCAAAGAATGACCTAATATGTCAATATAATTTATCACTTATTTGAGAAGTGTACTCGAAAATAAACAGTTGAATTATTTGGTTTGTACTATCTTCCTTCCCATTTCACTCTTTCTTCAGGCAGACTCTCGTTCCTTCATGCTTATCCAAACTATATCGATCGTTTTATGCCTGACGATAAAACTGATTCATTCAATAAGTTAGGCCAAAAATTATGCCTTAACAATTACTGATAACAATAATAATGCACTCGCGGTACTAAGCATCCAGTGAGTCAAATAAAGCGATAAGTTTAACCGCGAAACTTTCATATAGGTCTTTCTTGCAAGAATGATGCTACCGTTAGCTAGTTATGATGAAGGTGTGACGAAAAATCCCTTGCTTTATCTAAACTTAGTCCATCCTCACACGAATACACCGAGAACTTCCAGATTTAACCCATTAACTACCGAATCCCACAGCAAAAGGTACACGGAACAATATGCAATTTGTCAATCTCAATGGTTGATATGATTATTTCTGACTAGCCTTGTACTATTTTTGACTAGCCCTGCACTCCAGTTATAAGACTTACGTAGTATTTCAGGCTACCTCAATACTTCTTGTTTATAATAAAATTTTAATTACCACAATCAGGTCAACATGATAGTTTACGGTTAACTTCAGTATTATGAGGATAGCACTGTAATCTGCAATATATGAATTAATTATGCAATTTCAACTCAATGCTAATACGGTATTTCTTGAAAGATCAACCATTTAATAACATCAAAATTATACAACTCAAAAGTTGTCACAAATTCGACTTTTTCACTTTTTAGTGTATGAATTAATTATGCAATTTGATATCAATTTTATTATTTTCCATGTAATTACGTCGAATAATCATCTGTTCAGTGGACAATGAATTCCTTTTTTAGGTTGTATATATGCAAATGTAAAATTTCATCAAAAGTAGGAAATATTTTCACGAAACTATTTGTTTCTTTTAGCTGTTGTAATTCTTAATTATTCTTTCTAACTTGTCTTTTACTTTGTCATTGATAAGAGCTGTTTTTTTCCATTTCTTGTTAACATTATTCTCTTATCGTGGGAGAAAAGCTTGCGTGATCAAAGGAATTTACGAGTTATGCTAACGGTAATGTATGTCTCTAGCAAAGTCTCCTAGACAAAGTGTGTGCCTCGCTTGTCACCCTGTAACCATCGCAAGACCCTATAAGGACATCTATCTAAGAAAAAAAAATGGATATCCTAACCTACGTTTTGAGGGCTTCACTGTCACCGTCCTAGCTCGCTAGACCCTGGAATTTTTAGATATAAAGGTTGGAGCCAATTCCGCCCACGTTATGCTTCGCCTAAAAAATTTATTACGAAGACTGGAAAGATATATCCACATTTGTAGCCAAATATTCGTTTGAGAAGTCTAGCTATGATGACGATGATGAATAAAAAGCTTAGCAATACCTCCTTCCCTTTTCTTTGTCTTTTTCTTTCCTTAATATTTGCTTAGATCACTTCTTCTTTTTTTCCCTTTTTCTTACTTAGAATTTAACTTCAAAATTTAAAATGCTTCATTTAATTGATCGCTTTTTTCTCTTGTTGATAAAACTATCATTTCAATCAATATCATATCATTTGTTCATTGTTGATAAAATAATCGGCTACCAAATATTGTATTAGATTTAAACTTTTTTTGTAATACTGGATATATTAGATTAAAAATGAGTTAACTTAAAAGAAAAAAAAAAATTACAGAATTAATGGGACAGCACTGAGAATAGCTGATGAAGTACGGATGATATTGAAATTTCAACCTGAAAACTCATACAAAATGGAACGTGCAAATTAATTGCAAAAGAGAAGTAAAGTGTCAGAAGATCGAGAAATTTTGTAATATATTAAAGTAAGCAAAGTGATATGTTGTTTACAAAATCTCCCAAACTGACAAGTCATTTTTCTATTTTTCATAAAATTCATGTCTGAGAATTAATCTCATATGTAAATTACTTGTATGGTTGCATGCACCTTGTATGCCACTTTGTTTATGTAATTCACATCCATTATATAAAGGTTTATCTTTCCTATCATGAAGTGATTCCTTAACTCAGTTTGATATCAGTTCAACGTCCGACAACTTTCAACATTTCAGTTTTGTAGTTTTTATATCTTATTTTTACATCTTTCTGGCGATACATTTAATAGTATGACCCTTTCTAGATATTCTCATATTATTATTTTACGATATAATGATAAATCGTATCATTAATATGCTTGCACCAGATTGCTATTATATTATCATCAAAGGGATTCACGTAACCTTACCTCTATGTCATTTTAATGAACAGGTGGTTAATTAGGGAAAAAAAGCTCGAAATTTAATTGACATGAGATTAATTGAAAAAGATCTGAAATAGCTATCAGCAGTGCCATAAAGGACAATAATCAAAGATTAAGAATGCAAAAAAGCATGTAGTATATTCATTACAGATGATTGTATTATATCAATGAAAAATTACCACCACTCCGAATATCATTTTACTACCAGACTGAAATGTATTTTCAGAGAAGTAAAATTAAGAATTTTCAAATTTCAATTAAGCTATAGATTATTTCGGATCATCCCTCCGAATAAGAAATGCAGATATCAGTTCACAAGATTCCTACTGTAAAATGCGAATAACTTGTAGGAAAGCACCGATACCTTTCAAATTCCACAAAATCGATATCAATCAAGAGAAATACTAAGGGACTTATTGCTAGAACTTACTAGTTGGCAATTATTACTGCTAATGCAGGAGAAGGCGACAGTTTAAATTGCTATTATTTTGATATTCATTACTGCTACTCTAAATATTTTCGACAACTTGCTCGCAATTCAGATTGGTTAATTTGCAAGCAAAGACAAATTAAGGTAATAGAGTTGAGCAATAATTTCGGGTCAACAGGTTAGTAAGAAATATTTGAACCTTTGAAAACAATAGCTGTTAAAAATAATAGCTGAAATTAATTGTGCACCAAACATTACATCATAATTTTATTCAAAGCGAAGAATAACTTCATCAGGAGAGGAATTATACTGAAGAGATAAAATATGACAAAAGTGGAAAGAGTTTTTGTTGACACATCGGTTCCATCTCACAGAGAAAATTAAATTTGAATTAATGTTTTAGCATTCCAACCAAAGATTTAACAATTCAGTGATAATATAGCTTATAACATGAATATTATCAACTGTTGAAGTGGTTCAGAGTAATTATCATTTGCGAATTTCTTTTTTCCACATTTGTTCAATAATTTCGATGTGTTGTCGACCTGATATAGGTTGATTCATTTGTTCTCCTACTCTATTCGATGAACCGCATCCAAAATGAAGTAGCCATTTGAATGTTTTACAATGTATCTGCTCCACTCTAACGATAAATAAAACTGATATGGCATTGATGAATATTGGTATTACCAAACTTACAGTTTCCTGCAATTATAAGTATATCATCATAGTGTAGTGGCAGATATTTTAACCGTAATTAAGAACCATTACAAATGAGTTCAAATTAAATTTATTATTAATGGCATCCGTTTCATTAAAAACTATTTTTGTAAAGTATGAAAGGTTTAATATTTGTTCTGATAGAATAATTGTTACTGTCAAACATAAGTAGCTATTGTCCACAAATACGAAATACCGTAATCGTCTAAGCTTTTATTACTGGTGTTCAATATTTTGCAAATCTATGCATATGATAGGAATATTTTTTTTCAGTACTTTAATTATGGCTTCCAGTTAATTATTTACTTTAAAAATTGCAAAATGCAGTAGTTCAGATAGGAGACGATATTTCAAGAAAAATCTTCCCAATAAAATGAATGAGGAAGCTACGATAAACATTATGGTTGCTATAAACATCGTCTTTGACGTTTTCATATTTTCTCGGATTTGATAACGTGATGATAATGTATCCATTGATACCCGCATTTGAAGTCTAAAATTTAAAAGATATTTCAATACTGTATTATGGACACTGTATTATGAGGAGGAAAAAAAGACACAAACATTCAAGGTTAGGAATTCCTAATTATATGGAAATTTGAAAAAGAATGAAATTTGTGCTAAGTACATTACATTTTCATCTTTTGTATTTTAATTCAATAACAGTAAATATTTTACTTTTACAAAAAATAACTCTTATGCTAACATCATTTTTCTCCTGCTAATAATGCGTGTTATGAGAAGCAGAGAGAGTATACCAATCAACAGTGGTACTTCTATTGTCCACCTTATAGAAACAGTGAATCTATTAGTGACCGATGCGCAATAACTTTCATAGCCTTTCTTCCCTTCAATCACTATTAATACTGCATCCTTGATGCTTAATGCTATATTGTACCACTGAAAGAAAAAAAAAAAGTTTTTCAAACTTAATTCACTGCATATTTGGGATTTTCATTGGTTTTTCAACTTTTTTTAAAATACAATTCATTTTTATGTGTTATCCTTAAAATTCAACAAATAAACGATATCAGTGCAAAATTTATTGATTTAAAATGATTTTAAAATTAAAATTAAATTCAATATGAATGTTTAGAAAATGAACCATTAATGGTATACAAGCAAGCGTAATTGGATAGTTCCATTTTTCATAATATTGATAGAAACACATAGCAATAAATCGTTCAATTGTAATTGCAATGAATGAAAACCAAATACATTTAAGAGGTGCTCTTGAAAAATTGATTAGAATTGCGCATTTAACAGAATCCATCAAAAATGAACATTGATCCTAAAATTATTAGACTATATTAGTATTTATAGTCATATCTAATTGATTACTGCTTAGGATTTACTCAAATTTGTTTATATAAGCTAATTTGTCGCACAATTTCAAAGTTATTACAGGAAAAACATAAAAGCAAAATTCGATTCACTTGACGATAAGATAAATGTAACCTGATAAGCTATCATATGGTATATATAAGATGACGATCGAAAAACGACCGTAAAGGATCGAAAGATTAGTATACCAAACAGGCTGATCAATAATATTCTCAAATTTATATGGAATATCTGAAAAAAAAAGAAAAAACTATCTGTCAATTCAAAAACATTCAAGCGGCTGATTTTTTTTCCTACGGTATGAAATGAATCAATAGTGCAAAATGACAAATCAGAAATTATTATTGATTCAATCTAATTAAAAAAAAAAATAAAGAATTGGTGAAAGTTCTAAAATTATACTGTAATTAATCTGTAATTAATGTGAGCTGTAATTAATCGAATGAAGGATGAATGCCTTAATTAACATATGCGACGAAGTTTAAGTTTTCAAAATTTGAGCCAATAAAAAATCAAATCAACTAAAAAAAAAAATTTGAAATAAACTTTTGAACAAAAATGTTTCACCTTTTTAATGATTATATTGATCGAAACATAGAGTATAAGAATAATTCCTGTTATACCGAAAATGATGACGAAAAATTGAGCTGATTGGAAAAAAAAATTCGTTTGTAAATGATATGCTTCACCACAAAGTTCTTCAAATGTTCTATTCATTTTCAATAAAAAAAGGAATAATACGTCTAAAATGAAATAAATAGAACTTGGAAAATAACGGAATCGTACGTCTGTTCGTCACGATGATTCTTTTGGATTCTGAAGCTATGTGAAACATAGTATTATACGTGTGAAAGCGTAAAAATGAACAATTTGATTGAATCCCTTCAAAATGCCATCGAAGTATAACGTTTGTAATTACTGTACCATAAGCACAAATTGTTGTATTTCAGTGTGGGACACTTCAACGAGGCAAGGCATATTTGTAAGGAAGTGATCTGCTCCATTTTAGCTCCAAATACCAAACTTCCCTAGACAAATACGTCATCACAGAGTTCAAATTATTTGAAAACATCATTACTTCGATGTTTGGTTGTTTTCCGGGATATTAATGGTTGTTTAATTAGACAATTTACTTCAAAATGAATTTATCGTAAAGAGGAAAAAATATGACAAACCAATCACCTTCAACTACAAATTATAATCTAATTTTTAATAAATCAGTGAATGACATGGATATTGTCACTCAGTAATTTGAATATGGTTGCCACAGAAACATAATGGTTCAGTGCGTGATTTTAGCTCGATTTATGAGTAATTTGAAATCTTATCATCGATATCAAATTAGAATTCATCCATTCCCAATATGAATTAAGATTCGAACAAACTTCAATTTCATTAGTCTACCCGTGAGAGTTTATTTATGCAACATTATATTTAATGCAGCTTTACTATATACTTTATTTATGACATTTGTCATTCAGAATGATCTTAATTTCCATTCTTCAGCAATGATCAGTCAGTTGAGCATAATCAATGGATGGAATATTTTTACTAAATTCCTTCCTTCAATATTTAATTTTACAATAAATCCGTCATTTGTTAAGTAATAGTCATAAGTATTAATTGAATCTCATTTAAATTTCATAATGAATCACTTCATTGGCATGATAATTACTTAACAATCCATCGTTACTTATCGTTACTTAACAATAAATTTTATTAAATTGATTTCTTTCAAAAATCATTGATAAATCCAACTTCGAAACACAACTCAAATTAAAAAAGATTTGAAAAAAGACAACTGTTTGGTACTTTTTTGGCATTATCAAACGACTGTTTGGCATTATCAGTTTGGCGCATTTGGTATTTTGGATTCACTGGAAATAAGAAAATTCTCACATGGAAGTTCATATAGAATTAACAAACTTTCGGATGCGAGTCATTTCTGATGATGAGTTTTCAAATCAAAGAGAAGTATGAGTGCAACTACCGCAACTACCGTAACTACCGCAGCTACCGTAATTACCGCAGCTACCGCAACTACCGCAACTACTACAGCTACACCAATCACTTTCTTTCAGCAAAACACATTGTTTTCTAGAAAAATTTCCAGCTCGATAACAGAATAATTACACTTTTTCTTATCATTTGTAATATGTTTGTATGCTCAAACGGCAAAATTTGTTCTTTTTTGCTTTTACGCCGGAAATATATGGCAATGTAGCGCAGGTTTTGTCGTCTTATTCTCGATGAGCTGAAAAAAAACATTTGTAACGCAAAAGCATCTCAAGACTTACAATTAGCAATGAATAAATTATTTATTCATAGGTTTCAATGAAATGGAAACAACATTAAAATCGAATTTTCAATAATCCATCCATACAAATAAGCTTAAGAATTCAATTCCTTTAATATCTATTAATAATTACTTATCAGTAATATTTACCACTATTATTTATCAGTAATACCTTCTTAGCCTTGATTATTCTTGGCCAGTTTCGTAAACAACACTTCCTTATGGCTAAGATAAGCGTATGAGCAATGAGTCAAATTTAACGAAATAGTGTTGAATTATCATCATTATTACCAATTAGGTGCAGTGGGACAGTTTAAATTTCCGGCATTATCATTAAAGTTCTTTAATGATTTCATGTAATTAGCTAAGTTATTAAGTTATTAACCATATGGAACAGTTGAATAATATGGAATCATAATAATCGCAATACATAATAATAATCCTAATACATCGTAATAATCATAATAATTTTCTCCTTAAATGGCTGATTCTCTCAAATCAAAAACTAATTCTCCGAGAGAAGAAATTGACTGAGAATACGGTAGTTGTTGAACATCAAACTGAGAGATGAATAAACATCATAGGCATCCATCGATAAATCATTAATCGATTCGTTGAAATTCCCGTAATTTTATTCTTTTAACAAATTCGCACTTCAAAAAAAGCAAACTAAAATTTCCTTTCGTTATTTTGTTTTGAGTCAGATTTTAATTTGAGCGGAGATAAAATTATAGGTTACCTAAAACAAATGACTATCAATAGAATATAAAAGCAGTGATGAGCAAAAGTTTTTTGCCATAAGTTCAAAGTTATTCCAGTTTTACTTAGACTATTACTTCTCAATTATTTTCACTTAGACCTTACTTCTCAACTATTTCTTTTGAAAAACAGCGATATAAACAATTAGCACAATCGACTAATTTATATAATTAGTTAAAGATTAAGTTTATTTGAAATTTTACGAAAAAGTTAATTTAAATTACAGTTTGATAACAAAGAATGCAATCTAGCGACTATAAATTCAGGGAATTTATCTTGAAAATAAATTTTTCAAAAAAATTATTGTGAATAATTGAATTGCGATCAGTTGTCATCGATGTAGATGTGTGACAACGTCATTTCGTCATTTCGTTGGAGTCTTTTTGCAAATGTGTGGACGGAGTTGATGAGAAAATATCCGAAGGAAATTTTAGTCCAGTTCAACTGAATGAAGCGAAACTAACAAGACTAATTAGCAGATAATGGATCATTTTCAAAAAGAAAAAATAATCAGATATAGTTGACACTGTTATTCTCAGTCTAACTTCATTTAAAATTGCAATCACTTAAATTCTAATCAATTGCATTATCACCGATAATATTTGAATTGCATGAGTCAGGTAAAATTTTGAATTGCATGAATCATGAGTCAGGTGACAAGTAAAATTAATTTTATTTCAATTTGATTCAGCCGCAAGAAATTAATAATAGCTAAAAAAAAAAAAGAAACCCAACAATTTGACTCAAAAGTACTAGCACCTTTTTTCTCCTTGATTGAAATTTTTTGCGCTTCTTTCCAATCCCGAATGGATGTATATCAAATAGTATCATACCGATGGAAAGCCAGGAACACATTCCTATCGATATATGTTAAGGTTTGACACTGAATTTTGAAAATTAACAAAACTCATTAAAAGTTGCAATTGGAATCAGCGTGTGACACTCCAAGAGTTACAAATTCATAATTAAACTGAAGGAAATAAATTATGATAGAAAAGGATAATACAAAGTCAATCTGAATTAATACAATTCCGTATTTAGCTATTTATAAAAGCTATTGTTTTAATTTCTTTTTCACCACTGATATGATCCTTCAATGGGAATGTTTAATTACTAGTCTTTAATTAGAATTCTTAATTAACATATTCGGGAGACAATTTTACAAATATTTGCGTTCGATTGCAAAAATAATTAATTAATTTTGTCAGAGTGCCAAATTCCGAAGTTGTAATGCTTAAAGGACAGGTGCACCATATTGTAAAAAGTTACTCTTCGTAGTAAAAGAGAAAGATAATATTGCAAGGTGAATTAAATTGCAGGAAAGATAATACATATAATATAAATGAAAAAAGTAATGCAAATTCATTCGGACCACTAATAATACTTCTGAATCCTCTTGCTGAGAATTTCCGAGTTTTCAGAATTTCAGCAGTCAAAAATCTTAGGTATTTTGGCAAACGCTAAAATGTTTAAGATAAATGAACTTATTATTCCTATTCATTACTCTGTAATCAAAATTAACATCTTCATCAGAAACTGTCCTTCCCGAAAAAGAAGGACAGTTCAGTTCTACCACTGCAACAGTCGATCATTAATTTTTTGCTAAGCAATGATATTTTGGTCAGAAGCATTAGAAAGGAAAAAAAAACATAAGCATTGATAAGATTCGCATTAACAAGATTCTTCCCATATTGATTCGCTTTCTCGGGTCTTCTTATCGTTTTCTTCACTTTTGTTTTGGTTCATTGTCATTTCTTTCACAACTTTTATTTTGAACGTAATGTAAAACATTTCCACGTTTCCGTTATAAAAACGAAATGTTCGTTGCAGATTTCCGTATAAAGACGAAGTTATCATTTTGCGTTTCCATATTATGATAAGAATATATTTGAATAAATTGCTATTAAATAATTAGGAAAGAACTGTTAATTATTGGTTGTTTCAGATCCAAAAATGAGATCACTGATGATAATGGCTTTGTTGTTCATCATCAATTTCTCATTGGTACATTTAGTTGCTTCAGAAATTGATGGAAGCAGAATGAAATATTTTGATTTAATTCCAAATGCTACTCTTAGGTTCTTGGAAAATTCCCCTGAAATAAGCGTTAGTCTTATTACAAATATTATATAATAGATTTAAATAGATAAGAAAACTACCTTGATGAAATTGGCCTATCTTGAGAGTAATAGCTATCATTTATTTAAAAGTTTTTTTTTTTGAGATTGTCTGTAACACTATTTTCAGTATTATGATAAGGACAGGTGACATATTTTTTAACTTAAATCAGAAGATGATGGATTTAAAGATATTGTTGCAATCAATAATAAGTCGTGTAATGATGAAGTTTCTTTCATTCTTCAGAATACATCATTTCTATCGTCGCAAGGGATAGTGCCAAATTTTGCATTGGAAATGCTAATTAGGTTAATTTATACCAGAATGAATCAGTTGTTGCTTTATGTCGATGAAATTGATATCGTTGAAGGTTTCTAATTACAACTTTTGCGTGCAATGATATAAGGTATGTGGATCGTTTCATTTTCGTAATGTTTATGTTATCATTTAGTGATTGATTATCGATTTGAAATTCATAGACATATTTATTTTTTGTAGATGTTCTGAATCATCTCGCACAAAGTGCATCAAAGAGCTATGCTGCATACTGCATGCATGCATTCAAACATGTACCTGCAATTACTTGCAAATGTAATGCGATTTTAGTGCAACTACATTTCCACCTCGATGTTGCAAAAAATTTGGTTCTTTTTTCTTTCGTAACAAGATAGAGCTTTCTCAGAGCTGTATCGAAAATTTATACATAGGATAAAGCCTTTACAAATTAGCTACCGAATGTATGCAAATCTCACCATTCAGACAGAAGCATTTTTAGATGATTTGAAGAGTGACTCATCATTTTAGGTGTGAGAAAGCATTTTATACTTTTTTGTGTAATGTGATGAATCGTTTATCTAGGAAATATTCTGTACAACAAATGCCTTAACTACTTTAACATGATTCTCTTCGGCTTTTCGATATTAGCAATTTCGTTTACCTCGTTGCACTTTACACTTTGCATCTTGCACTTTGCACTTTGCACTTTGCACTTTCACTTCATTATTTCTTTTTTTTCCTTTCCTTACTTTATTCACTCTTAATTTTTCTTCAATGATTGTAAATAAAAACAGTCATCAGTATCAGATGGAATGCATTTTCAGGATCTTTATTGATAAAGAGTTAAGGAATCACAATACAACAGATGCTTGCAAATTCAGTGGATATAGTCTCGACAATCCATCATTTGACGTTTGTCTACCCTCATCATGTGACCATTACAACACGCTGATGATGCTTAGTCGTTCACGTAACGTTCTTAGCATACTTTTCTTTCCTGAAAATCTTCAAAATTTCATTTCTTTTAATCGACTTAAATTCATTTTCATTAATCAAAACGCTAAGAAAAACCAAATTCCATTTTGGTGTGAAACTTTTTTTTCAATTATTTTTATTCGATTTACTTCATAAAGTTCATGAAATGTCAAAAAATGTCATCGAATGCCATAAAATAAGGTTCATAAAATGTCTAGCATAATTTGTTTCATGAGATGCATTCTTAAGATTACAATGCAGTGAGTTAAGTGACAATAATAGTGACCGATCATTTGAAAAGAAATAAGTAAGTAAATGAATTAAGGGATTATGTGTCAAAGGATTAACTTTAAGAAACTATTGCAACTGTGAAAGAGAAAAGTTTTGATTAGTCTCATTTCAAGCTTTTCAACAGTAACAGTAAAATCATTAACTTTTTGAAAAACAAATTAGGAGATGAGAATAAAGTGGTGAGAGTCTCGGATTTTTTTTTCCGAAATTTTTCTGTTTCAGTGGTTCAATTTAACAATTCTACTCCTGTATGTACTGTAAAGCAAGCATCTGTTTGATTGAGATCTATCGATTACAAGACGTGGATTGTACTGTATGTTTTATCAATATTTGTAATTACTAAAGCAAACATCATTGCTATAATTCACTAGAAATAACGTGGAAGAAATGTAACAACATGTATCAAATCAACTAGGTATCACAAGTCTGAGGATATTATGACATCGATAAGACATGGTGATTTTATCCATCGTACCATGAAAAATTCTACCACTTTAAGAGTCAGATTGTCTAATTCTGTCTTTTTTTTTCTTAGTAATTGTAATTAATTAGAATTACAAAATACAATCGACAATCATCAAAATTTCTATCCTTAATATTAAATTGCTGATTAATTTAAAGAGCAGTAATGGCATTAATTGGAGCGATAGTCATATTAGCAACTGAATGAGATTTATTTATGATCTATTTGGTTTCAATGGTAACTGGTAATGAAACAAGTAATTCTGGTTCATGTGACAATTGAATGACATGCTCAAACCACATATATTATATACTTTACATCAAGCTATTTCAGGGACTGCTATCAGAAAACAATCCTTTTTTGCAGGAATTGCTTTCTGATAACAGTCCCTGAAATAGCTTGATATAAAATATATAACATATGTAGTTTGAGAATTCGTAGAGGTCTACCAGCAATTGTTTCCTAGGATGAATTCGAAGATAATCCAAAATTTATTTGCAGCATGTTGGTTATCCTCCTTAATGGCATTTCTTTCGATCCAGAATACCAAGGATATATTCGATATCGTCTACTAATAAATAAGGCCAAATAAGGATTAATTCATTTTATATGTTTCATTAGCATGATTTAAGTGATTTCTGGACATGCTACAGCCGGTTACATGATGTCCAGTTGTAAATACAAGCTTGATTCGGTATGTATTATGGACAATTTGAAATAGTTTATTTTAATTTGAACTTATCAAATATCGATTTTCAGCAAACTTCTTAGATTATAAGAATATTTTTAAAAATTTGTGGACCCAATTCATGAGTAATGCATTCTTTTCCGTTGATACATTCTTCTTCATATCCGGTTTATTAGTACCGTATATTTGGTTCAAGGAATGCCGCAAAGACAAGAAGAAAGTAATGTCACCTACCGCTTGGCTCTTATTTTACATCCATCGAATAATTCGGTATCCATTTTACACCTTTTATATGATGAATACTTAGATAACAATTATACATTTAAACGTGAAATCTTAGGAATAGTCATAAGGGAAACAAAGATCAAAAGTCAACTATTACTTTTTCCAAAAGTTTTCTCGGCTAATCGAATATTTACAAGTTTATTTTAGCAAAAAAACTGCTGGCTATTATCATTTTGCAGACTTTTGCAATCTTATTATATTGTGATAGCATTTGTACAAGTTATTCCTGGTTAATGTGCCGGCCGTTTTAATGACAACTGATGATTATTGCGAGGAAAGTTGGTGGACCAATTTCTTGTACTTCAGTAATTTCATCCATTACAAATATTAAGTAATTTTATCTACTACAGAGGGCATCAAATCTATCCATCAAATCATAATCTATCAAATCAGCAGATGTAACCGATGGTCTTATGAAATTTTTCCTAATGTTAATTTTTTTCCTAATGTTAATTTTGTGGAAATTAACATTAGGATACGGATGAAGCAATTTTCGAATTAGGAAGATAAATCTGATAAGCGAAGAAATATATTTATTGATTAAATTTAATAAATAATGAAGTATGCATTAAAGTTATTCAGTGTTATTTGCTTTCATGGTATCTGACAACAGATTTTCAACTCCAAATTTGCGCACCAATATTACTGATACCATTAGTTTTGAAACCCATGTTGGGTTATATTACAGCTAGCTTAATTATACTGTTTTCAACTGCTGCAAATTGGGTGACAGTGTACAAGGAATACTTCCTACCAACGAATTTCTACATGGATATCATGGATGCTAGAATGAGTTCATACATGTTTGTTTTTAAAGCATTTGAAAATATTCGGCTTTTCAATGCAAAATTTTTGACTCAAACCAATATGAACTTGGTTATATGCATTAACTAATTTCGATATTAAGGAGTTACTTTGAAGAATCTAAAGATTGCTACCTACAACCGTCAACCGATGCATATCGAAAATATCTTTGCAGACTGGAAATGGCATTGAACTGGAAATATAAAAATTAAATTCATAAACAAAACCAGGAAATCACGACAATATTATTAACATTAGACTGATGATTGCAAATTTGCTATTTTAGAAGTCATTCATTTTTGATTTGTCAAGCACCTTGGATCCGTTTTCAGGTTTATATTACAGGTATTCTTGTTGGCTACTTGTTCTAAACAATGAAAATTCTTCACATATCAAAGGTTATTTCACATCAAATTTTATCCGTTTTTTCAATTTTTGACCATTCATTGCGAAGAAAGTTTATAAATTTTTATTTTCCCTTTTATTTAAAAAGTAGCAAGTTTAAGCGGTAAAATATGATGAATTTCAGCCTAATAATGATTACTGTTACAACAAAACAGTTAATTTTAATTAATTTAGTTTAAAAATTTGAAGTTAATTTTAAGTTAATTTCAAGTTTTCAGCTAACAAATATTATTTGCTGGAGTATTTCTGAAGTATTTGTGCTCGCTGGAGTATTTGTACTCATAATAGTGTGCAACTTTATCACAAATATGTGAACTCGGGGGTGTTTTGACATTGCATAAAATCGTTGTGTTATAAATTTAGACTGAAATCGATCATATGTTAAATGGACAATTGTATGATTTAAATGTTATTCATCATCAACTGTTGCATCAAAATTTATTGCTCAGCTTCAATCATTAAATAAAAAGTCATCCATGAAATCCAAATTTAAATCTAATCAATATTTATATATCAAAAAAATTCTGCACAGATACTTTTCACATTTTTTCAATTATAACAATTGTCCCACAAGTTGGTTGTTTTCTTCATTTTAATATATAATTTCCATTAGAGAAAGAAATTAATGATCGTTTTGATCGGCCCGGTAGTATTTCGACTAGAAAATGTTGAAAAAAGGAGTCGATAAAAATGTTCTTATGAAGAATTTAACAGGAAATTACAAATGATGCTGTATGATGACACAGGTATTTAGTTTAGAAGACATGGAAAATATTAAAATCAGTTATCTGCCAAGAAGAAGAAGAAGTCATTTGCTACTGTTGCTGTAGTAGTTATTGTTGAAGTTGAAACAAAAAAGGTAATTGCTGTTGTAGTTATTGGAGAAGAATCTGTTTCACTTTCAAAAGTTCTTGAAGCAAAGGATGCTGTTGTTGGAGAAGCTGCTAAATGGAAGACAGTTTTGCAGCAGCTATTGAAGAATTTGTTGTTGTTGTGCAAGAGTTATTGGGATTGAAGCTATGATTGGAGTTGTTGAAGAAGACCAGAAACTTGCTTAGGTTGTTGAAGCATTAGCTGAACAGTTATATTTTGTTATTTCACAACCTGATGAGACCAAACTGTTGTTGAAGGAGTTACATAGTTGTTGCTGAAGTTGTTGACTAAGCTGTTGGATTTGCTTAGGATGCTGTTGATCTTGAACTTGCTGAAGATGTTGTTGTATTTGTTGTTGAAGAACAAGCTGTTGTTCTTGGAGAATAGGTAGTAGCTGGTTTTGTGTTTGTTGGAGGGAAACTTGTTGTTGCTGTAAAAGTTGCTCAACAATAGGCCTTTGTTGTTGCAAAGGTAGTTGTTGCTGTAGCTGTTGAAGAATTTGTAGTAGTAAAAGAAGTTGCTGAAGGATAAACTGCAGCTGTTGAAGAACACATTCTAGAATTACTCTGCTCTGCTTTTGATGCTGTTGCTGTAGAAGCTGTTGAAGAAATGGTTGTTTTTGTTGTAATTTTTGTAGTTGTTGTAATAGTGGATGTTGTTGAAGTTGTTGGAGATGCTTTTGTTGTTGTTTGAGAAGTTGTAGTTGTAAGAGAAGTTGTTGAGTTTTTCTCGTATCTTGGGGTTTTGGCTTCCTAGTTATTAGAATTTCTTCTGCTATAGATGTGGTTAAAGAAGTCGTAGTTGTTGAGGAAGTTGATGTCAAAAAAGTTGTTGTTGTGCGGAAAATTGTTGGAGAAAAAGGTGTTGTTGAATTTATTCTAAAAAAGTCTATTGCAGGAGGAACTGCTGAAGTTGATGTAGAAATGTTTATTGTTGAAAAAGAGGATGTTGTTGTTGGGATTGTTGGAAGTGGTGTGGAAAAGGTTGTTGTTTTTGTAGAAATTGTTGGAGAAAAAACTTTTTCTGTTGTTTTACTTCCTGTAGTTGTTCCCTAAAAATAAAAAAATATTAAAGAATAAAAATAAAAATTGACACTGCTTATCAACTGTAGCAAAATGTCATAGTTGTGATGAAGGAAATTTCTGCAGGTGAAAGCATTGATTGGCAGAAAATCACATATAAAAAGTAAATAGAATACCTTCGCAAAAGATGAGCACGTAATGATGATGAGGAAAATGATTCTTTTCTCCATTTCAATCGCTTAATTCGATTAATCGAATTCGAATGAAAAAAAAAAACAATCCTCTACAGGTCAAAACGTTAAATGTTTGCATTTTTCAAATCTTCCACTGAGTACAATGTTTAGGCACTAATTGACAATTACAGAAACCAGTAGCACAAGTATATCGATTGCATTAGACTAGGTACCGAGTAATGTATAATTCGAAAAATTTCGGTGAAATCCCGATGGTTCGTCTAAGGCAATCTTTGAATCCCTCTCTTAATTTTCATGTCACCTAGAATTCTTCCCCGAACCATTCATCATTTCCAAAAATCTTTCGACTTTCACTCCCACCTCTCTCCCCTATTACAGTCCGTTGAAAAATTATGTTCAAATTTCAATTTAACAGAATCGTTACCATGACCGATCACTTTGTCTTATATTACCAGTAGTATTTCATTCTGCTCCCACAAAATTTCCCAATTGTATTGGATTTTTGTTTAAAATGGATGAATTTTGTTAAAAGAATTGTTTGTTTCCTTATTTTGTAAAATCAGTGAAAAAAAAAACCCCGCCTGATTGTATAATAAAATTTTGCTAATATTGAAAAATGTCTTTTACCCTTATTCAATGCTTTTGTTTCTTTCTTTTTTTTGAAGGTATTAGTGAAAAAAGGTAATTGTTTATGGATCACTTATTATTCTGGTTTATTTTAATGATTAATGTTTTATTGGTAGATGGAATATGTACGTTAATTTTTGAAACAAAATGTTGTATGAATGTAATAGCAACATCTATTGAAAAAAAACTGAAGGAAATTGCAATAAAAAATTTGTTGTAAAAACATTTCTGTTATAAAAACTCATCACATTATACAAACAATATATGTGATGTTTCCTATATCTAAACCGATGAGTTTATTGTTTAAGGTTAATCGTTTAAAATATCTTCTCCTTTGATGTTAAGATAATTTATAGCGATTTTCTCTTCTTATGAAGAAAAATATGGTCGGTTTTGTAAGAAGCCGTGAAAATATGGTCGGTTTTGTAAGAACCTTAAATGGAGCTATTATCTTATCTTAAGCCCAACCCACTTAGGGGCAATATAAAAGCCCCCAATAAACGCATTCTTGACATTCAAAAAATAAATCTCTGTCGAAGATCACAAAAAGCCTGCTTCGTCTCGTATAACTCGACCTTTAACTAACGGTTTAAATAGACTGTAACTTCCAATTCCATCATCTAGTTTCACTATCAAATAACATTGTGTTATTATAATTGTTATACTTCTACTACTGAATAAACCTTTCTCTTTCTATCCAACACATACAAAAGAAACTTTTACGACAACATCAGTATTACTGAACTTTTTTTTCTTTTTAAGATTATTAATCCTTAAATTAAGGGTTGGCATAATTGCACACAGTCTTTACATTTGACAAACAGCTAAAGTTACCTTTACTGGTCAAATTGTACAAGTTAATGATGATTTTAGGATTCCAATGGGCGAAATGTTCTGCATAATGTACAAAGTTGTAGAAGAAAAAGAGGAAAAAATCACTTTTATCACCTGGAAAGCTTTAGTTATCAGCTTTGATTGATGGATGCAACAAGTTACCTCTTCCCTTTACATTTACGTATTAATCAATTATTTGCAAAAGTCACGGCTCATTTAGGACAAATCAAAATCAAAATGTTCATTTAGGACGAAATCAAAATGTATGAGAGATTGTCTTGACTTATCGCGTATTTAATATGTAGTGTAATTGAATATAGTAATTAACAATTCCTTTTTTCTAAGAGAAATTTCAATTAGTTCCGGCAGCTTTTACCTTTTCTCAATATTTTTTTTTAAAAAAAAGGAAAAAAAAACATAGAATTAATTTTGAAGCAGTTCCTTTATTCGTTTATTGAATTTCGCTTTGTATACGGAATAGTTATACTCAAGAGGGCGAACAGAAATCAGAAAATTTTGGGACGAATTTAGAAGATCAGCAGGATAACTTAGATAATGGATACTATTGAGATAGTCAACCTCCAACTTTATCAGTAACACAATAATCTATCGAAATATTTTTGCATGATCGGACATTATCGTTTATAGACTTCCCCAAAGTCATTTCGCAATAAAATGTTCTGAAGTATGACCAAACAATGAACCACCTAATTATCATCCTCTAAGATGTATGCGAGCATCTCACAAGACCATTTCTTCAACTTGTATCAGCACTGAAATGTCATCAACATGCATGAATTAAGAGTATCACTTCCACTTATTGACCTCAACCCTCTCAATTGCAGTTTTCCGTTCTCAGTAAGCAGTAAAGTCGTGATAAAAACGTGAAGGAAGGAATTTAATGATCCTGAAGAATAGTGCACGAAAGATATGATAATGACTTGTAGAAAACTTCAAGAACAAGAATTTACTTCAAGGCCACAGACTTTCTTATCTCTAACTTGAAATCCATACCCAATATCACTGTTAAATTAAAAAGATAAGGAATTACAGAAATGGACAATGGAATCCATATACCAATTACTAATTTACCAATTAACTTACCAATTACCTAAAATTTACCCAATTACAAAAAAGATTAATTACTTTATTAAAAAGTAATTACCGAAAAAAATGATTAAAAACCCAATTACTAATTATTAAAAAAAATTTACCCAATTACTAAAACCAATGGTGCGTGTTTATGTAGAAATTCATAAAATATCATGATGACTATATATATAAACTTATCATCACTGAAGTGTTTTTTCTTAACTGCAAAATTTGGCACCGAAAGTACAATAAACTGGACAGAAATTTGAGGATGCGGAAAAAGGCTTTACTTTACTTTACTTTACTGCATTACTATATCATAATTTATTGATTCTAAAAAATTCACAAAAAATTACAATGGTCTGGCAGAGTATATGTATAAAAAAAGACGCAAATCTCCAATCGCAGTGTGTTGCAAGCATGTTACAGAGTGTGTCAAAAATGTGCAACACAATGCAGTACGCAACTGACGATTCCGCTGATTCATCCCATCAAATGACGTAAATGATCCATGCTTACTAGTAGAACGAGTAATTCCAAAGAAGCTAACCATAGTATAACTTCACTTAAATGTCAACTTTTATATGATTTAATTCCAATTACACAGAATGGCCACTACTGAAATTCCTTGATCTGCGTTCATTGTAAAAATCGACTGACGATGAACGCTCCAAAGTGTTTAAGGTAAAATTGTCGTAGCTGAAATACAATATATATTGACAGAAACTGTTGATGAGACTAACAAAAGGCGGAGATTTTATGAAACAATACAAATCAGGAAAAGCAAATTGGGAAATTGTCGAAAACCTAATTTCCTATCGTTTCATGACCGAATCAACTAACATGTATAATCCCGGGTTTATTTCAAAATCACGCAATCCGTCGATCTGTCGCAAATCATTTTCTATGGCTCTGATATCACCATCAAAAATATCATGGAAAACGCAAGTATTTTCAATTTCGGTCCAGTTAATAAAATGATTCACTCTGGTTGAAATTAACAGTTTAGGTCTT